TGTGTTGTGGGGGCGGGGGGGGGGGGGGGGGGGGGGGGGGGGGAAGATGTGATGCCATTTCTCCTCACTTAAACTGATGGCAACTGAGAGTCTCACAGACTTTTCATTCTCTGACTGCACTCTAAGATATACAAAGAAAAATGAAAGCACTTTTATCTAGACATTCAAAAAAACCATTTATGCTGTTACACTATATACTACAGACTATGCCAGGAGATACTGCCCTTAGATTTGCAGAGAAGGAGATCAAAAGCTTAAATAAATCATATTGCTTAGCTTCAGTGCATATATCACTGATATCACAGAAGAAACACCAATAAATTCTATAACTTTAGATACAGCAGTCACTTATCCAGCTGCTAATTAAATCCCAATACAACAGGACCATCACATTTTTTATTCATGAACAAGACCACAGCAAACTGCATTTTAATAAGCACAATAGAGCTAAAAATGAATGACACCCAAGAGGGCTGTAAAATTTTTTTCTGCAGATCTACTGTAGATCAGTACGTAACCCGCTAACATCAGTGTGGATTTGTGGTCCTAGTTAAACAGATTGCATGCATAAGACTAAATATTCACCTTCAGTATGTGCTGCAGACTGGGTTCACATTAGCATTCTCCCCAGAGAGGCCGATTGTATATGAAAGTTGTGCTAAACTTGAAGAGGGCATGACATGCATTTGGACACCTCTAGCCAGTGCTGCTGGCAGATGAATGGGTATGAGAAAACCCCATTCTTCTACAGGGAACTTAACTGAGGTAATGAAGTCATCAGCAACTCCCTGTCAAGAACCTGTGTTATATTTCATAACATTTGATAAATTTGCGTTTTAAAATGTAAGAAATTTGCATGGCTATTGGGGCTGCACAAAAGTGAAGTACAATTTGAATTAACGAAGAAAATATGTTGATAATTAAACCCTCACAATAATTGACATGTTTTCCTATTTCAACACTTCTTTCCAGGGACTGTTACATGGCAAAGGTAAAAATTACCTGGACTATATGTACTTTGGTTTGTTTTTCTAAGACAAAAGCTGTCATTTTGGTGAGGAAAATAAACAACACCAGTCAAAAGTTGCAAATCTACCTATCTAAGGTAGGGCCCTGAATCCTGTCTTGGGCAGCTAAGGAGAAGTTACCTTATTTTAAGAAGTGTTTTACATCTGCTTATCAGTCCAATGGGAGCACTGTTAGGAGATGATGACTTCTCAGATAGGTCTGCTTTTTCTTCTTTAATCTGGATTTATGAACCTAACTTCAGTTACGCCATTGAAAAGCAATGGTCTTCAGGCAGCAATTTGCCTACCAAATACTACTTGCAGAGCTATACCAATTTTCTTACTAAGGCTGATGAACCAGTATTTATACAAATGAAAAGAACATACTAATCTCCATTCAAAGACCATAAAAAAGGCTGCTTAACAAGTGGAGGAAAAGAAAAAAAAATGTAGGGCAAGAAATATAATTTTGAGTTTCTGTGAAGATATCACACACAATATAAGTGAGACCAAAAATAATCTCACAGTAGAACCTGACATTAAAAAAGATTAAAGGCGAAAAAAACCACACAACCCAATCAAGTTGGTAAAGCCTAATTAGCAGAGACCCACCCAGAGATCAACAAAATGCATTCTTTTCATTTTGTAGTACAAAGAAGCTGCATATATTACTTGTATTAAAAAGCCTCTAAAATGAATTTAATTAACTATGAAAGGCTGGATTTTTGCCTTTGGGTATATGTGAAAACAGCAGCTGATTTTACAAGATGCACTGTGATGCCTGATTGTGTAGCAAGAGAAGAATTAAAACCTTTATGTTTCATTGCCTCTCTGGGTTCAGAGAGAATTTTGTGGTCCAGAATTTAATTAGATTTTGCCACAGTCACAAAGCTTGGGTCAGCATGTGAATTCAAATTCATGCAGGGGCAACAGACGTTTGCGTATTTTGGAATCCTATTTGCAAGCTATGACTTGAGAGTACAACTTAAATTTCAGGGAGCACACAAGACCACTGTCCATTTTCAGGGAATGCATGGGCAAGCCACACAGCTGAAAGTAAGAGATCTCCAAGGAATGTATTACAGTTAAATGAAATGCAAAAGGGTGAAGATTATGACACTGATGTGGCCACAAAACAATGCATATGTCTACTATATACTGTTCATCTTCCAATTCCTTAACTGCAAGTAATTCTTCCGCTATGATAATACTTTTCCACAGTTGTATAAACACAGAAGCAAAAAGGAAATAAAAGACTTAAAATGAGTGAAATTAGGAGATTCAAAGGAGGAGCTACTGACTGTGGAATATCTCCTCTCTCTACCTCCTCCTGGCTTCCAGGGAGTCCTGGCACACACTTCTCCCTTCTCTCTTCAGGAGCTCTCCTACAGGCAGCCACATTGGGAGCCTGGGCCTACAAAATCTGTCTGAATCCAACCTGCAGGCTCTTAGCATGCCTTGGGAGTACCTCAGTCAGCAGATGGGATCCCTCTCCTTGGAGACTTTCAACACTTGACTGGGAATGGCCCCAAGCAACCTGACGTAACTATGAGGTAGACACTGCTCCAAGCCCAGGGTGGAGTAGGAACCTCCAAGGTCCCTTCCAGGGCAGCTTTTTCCATGGCTCTGTGTAAGGCATAGTGCAATCTTGCACATGCCTGCCAGCACTCAAACTGAGTCACTTGCCTGCATCAAATTGCCATGGATGCTCCATCCCCCTGGCATATGTAAGGGCATAACCTGTCATCTATGAGCATCTCTCAGTAGGTGTTAGCACAGGCACATGAGTGCTGGAGCAAGCCCAGGCCCTCAGCCTTCCTCACAGCTCCCCCAGGATCTGTTTCCACAGATGCAGGCATTAACCAAAGTAGCAAGCACCCCGTATCTCCAGGCTTGGATGGCTTGAATGCCTCCAGGAGCAGAGTGGCTTCCCCCACCTCTGGATTTCTGGATACAAGTCATACTACTGTATAGGTTCCTTGGACTTGTGTCCTAATGCCTTAGTGTCCCATTTCAAGGCCCTTTCTAAGCCCAACATACAGGCAGAGCCAAGGCATGCCCCTCTCTGCCAGTCTGGGATACGTCCCTGAATGCCAGTCCTGTCAGTGCTCGGTAGGGAGGAAAGCTGAGAGCCAGCACTCACCGCCCTGGGCTAAAAGGTATCCACAGATGACGGTAAAAGGCTATGTGCAACCTCTGGCAACTCATGCAATAAAACACTTGTGGTCAGGGGAAAGACAGACTGTCCTTGGCAAGAGCCCAAACTTCTACTTTTCTGCCCTTCTCTGTTTTCCTCACTCTAAAAGCCTGTTGAAAACAAAAGGCTATTTCAACCAGCATAGTAATACCAATATCCCCCCCCCAAGCTGGTTCCTAGAGATCCTAAAAGAAAATGGGGTCTGGCTTACCAAACAAGCAGCCATGCTTGACTGGCTGCTGACAATAAATCAGGCCCAAATGTCAGCTTCAGCTTTGGCTTCAGTGACTTCTGGCAGCATTCTGGAATGTCCCCATGCTAGGACAGCAAGGTTGTCCTGAGAGCTGGTCATCCTGACTGGCCATGTTAATTGTATTCTACCATTAAGGTTTCCCCTCATGGCATGACCTCCTATTGCTATTGAGGAGACTCTGAAGGCTAAATAGTGTGAACAAGCAGAAAATTTGGCTTTGAGGATGATGCCACAGGCACACAAAACAGAACAGTGTGGATGTACCCATCAGTTCTACCACAGCAGAAGTAATCGTGGACAGTCACCATAGCAAATCACTTTGAGAACACGCTTCTTTTTTTATAACAATTGAGTGGGAAAAAATATTGGAAAATACACGTCAGAACACCTTTTCTCTATTGGTGTTTTTAAATCTGTCAATGTTTTCTTTAACCTTTGATCAAACACCAACTACTATCTGACAAATATTATGAAAAGCCATTGTGCAATGACTGGCAAAAGCATATAATGAAACTCAATGTTAATTTCTTCAGGACTAACGCAGAAAGTTTCCCTTCTGTGGGAGTGCAACACTGCTCTATATCAGGAAAGGAGAAAGGATGCTCTTGGAGAAAGCATAGTACAAATACTGAGAATACATGGGCTTTTTAACAGCTTTGCCATAGCTGTCCTGTTTCAGATCATGAACAGATCATTTAGATCTGCCTCCACAAGAACGTTTGACTCCCAGAGCCTTTTGCAATTACTATTACAATGCCTTTTGCTACTCTGCATGTTAGTTTCCCCATCAGCAAAACCAGACTTAGCCTCTCACGTTTCTTTCAGTCAGGATAATAATTGTCACTGGTTTACGAGGCCCATCAGGATAATAATTGTCACTGGTTTACGAGGCCCATCCTGAGAAACTTTCAGCCTGATTGAAGATACTTCTAGGAGTTCTGAAAGGGACTTGGGCAGTGTATACAAGAGCTTACCCGTACAGAGTCACAGTTGCACTGTTCATAAACAATGAAGCTTTTTGAGACCTTTTAACTAAGAGCTCAGACCTGAGCCAAGGCACCAGCTAACAGGATGCGTCTACAGGGTACACATGTAGTTGTGCATGCATATAGTAATTTGTATGAATTCTTCATTACCAACATACTTATTTTTCTCCAAGAAACTCAGATGATTCATACTTAAACAGGTATACTCCACTGTAGCATGGATGGAAGACAACAAGAAAGGAGATCACTACAACTCGCCTGTCTACAGCAGCATGTTTGAGAGCATCTTACCTTGACATGGTGTATCAGGTGCTCAACTTCATTCACTTTATACGTCTCTATTCCTAACTCTTTAGATAACCGCAGGAGACGATTTTGTGTTGGCCCCACGTAGGCTCCTCCAAGGTCCACATACTTGACTTGCTTATTCTAGTTTATCACACACAACACACAAAAGGGGAAAAAAAAGATTAAAAAAAGATAAGCCCTTTGTAAATAGTACACAAGTTAAAAAGCAATCCAGAGAAATTCTTTAAGTGAAACACTCCCAGAGCATTGTGGCCAAGATTCCTCTCGCCATGGAAAACTTCAATTCTTTGGTAGAGTTCTGGTGTGGCGATTACCGAGAATCTCAGATAAGGAGTTCATAACCAGCTTAGCTGACCTGTTGTTACATTACAGCCTTAACAAACACAAGAGGAAAGAGCCTGACAGGCAGAGAGAGAGAAGGACAGAGCCAGAGACATCTGTGCGGTTCTTGCTCAGTCAGGCATCTCACCAACGACTAGTTCAAAACAGACTGTACTAGGAAAGAGCACAGGTAAGATTTTCTAATGAGCAGAGTGGGAGGGGGTCTCCCAGGTCAAGGTAGGGCAGAAGGTAAAGGAGTGAAGGGAGACATGCTGGTTCTAGTTCCCAGCCACCCCTGCCATTCCTCTAGCCTACGTCACCCCTCACAGGGCTCATTACGGTTCAGCTCAAGGCTCTTCACGGCATGGTTGGCCTTACAGCTGTTTTTTCACAGAGATTTCTCCAGTGTCTCTCCCCGGGAAATGATTTTGGAATTTAGCTAATCATGTTCTCCTTCCCAGAGGAAAGGACTGATGAATCCAGAGCCTGCAGATCACACAGAAATATTCTGTCCCCACCATCATGCCTGTCTTTCCCTACTCTTGCTGCTACAATATCAGGAAATTTCCCACCTGCTAGTGCTCTAGAAATTTTCGCTCAAGTAGGTCCTCTAGCAGGAAAGATAAATAAATACACTTACGTACACTATTCATATAGCATATGTATACTATACATATATCTACACATACAACATACATGTGTATAATTATACATACGTATAGTGTATAGTATATGTATGTATATGTAGTATAAATGGGTTTGGAGATAATTACCCTTACGGTGAAAGTTCTTCCACCAACCCTGTCATTGGCTTCCAGCAACACCACATTCAAGCCTGACTCAGTCAGCAGTTTCGCTGCTGAGAGACCTAAAACATAAAAAGAAAAACAATTAAAGAATACTTCTGTATATGCACCCCATGGGTTTTGTGACTTGACATGTAAATGCTCACATAGCTATCCATACAAATCCTGAATTTTTCATTCAAACACTTCGCCAGGGGGGTGAGGTGGAATTAAAAACCACAGTAATCATAAAATGGAACTGAAGCCACATATTAAAACAGTTTGTGACCAAATTTTACATGTGCTGAGCACCTTTTGCACCACATGCTCAGCTCTTCTGATGCATAAGCCAGCAATTGTCATAATAGTCATCCAGCCAGGCACAGAACATGGGGAGGACAGCTTTCTGTTTTCTAACATCAGCATGTCATCTTTTATAACCTCAACAAAAAAAGGAAGAAGTGAAGTTTTATTAGGACTGTCCTAAATTTCAAAAGTTTTCCTGAAGCTTGTTGTAAGTGCCTGCTTTCCAGCTCTGAATGTTTTAAAGTACATTAGCAAAGTTCCCACACAGTCAGGTCACGGGTTTCTTCTCCTGAAGAACACATGGTCTGACTCAGAAGAGACAGAACGTGCGCTTGTGTGTGGCATCAAGAAGAAAAAATATGGGTAAGTATACCCAAAAAAATTGTTTCATTCCTCATCCATTTTCTTCATAGACTTGTATTTCCATCTTCGAATTCTTGAAGCTGAGACACCAAGAGAGGGAACAATGGGAATACAGGAGGGAACATCTAATTTTAGTTCTGATGCCATAAATCCTCATAATTGCAGAGAAAATTATTAGCGCCAGGCCCTGCAGCAAGTATGTCAAGCCGCTATGGGAATGAAGGGAACTAGAAAGAATGCACAACACAGAGGAAACACAGCCTGCAACCTCTCAACTTCTTAAGATCATCTCTGCCTTTTACTTCAGCACACAAACCGAGATTTGTATAAACTGACGTTCTTACTTTGGCCACTACTGAGTGAATTTCTAGTGGGATGACAAGAGTTACATTCTAGAGGGTTGCGTCATCCTCTTGAACCGATAGGATGCGTTGAGTAAAGTTCAGCACAGACCAGGCTAGAAGCCACACTCATACATCATAATTTAGCTACCCTTTCTGACTCTCTGCCTTGTCACCACCAGAAGGCAATCAGTTTCCTCTCTGTGTCCTAGTACATGTAGTTTTTGAAAAGGAGTTGTCCAAGCAGACTGTTCCAAGCATAAGGCAGCCACGGAAGAAATGGCAAAAGCGCTGGCAGGAAAAAGAGACGGCCAGAGCTAGCATGGCAGGACTGAATGAAACAATAATGAAGAAAATAGAGCAGCCCTGGACAGAGAAAGAATATTAATGAGAGCTACTAAAGGTGCTACAGAACATCCTGATCATCAGCTAGTGGCTTGGGAGCAGGAGAACCAGATCCTGTTCCCAGCACTGCAGTGAACCTGCTGCACTGTGCTGGTTAAATCACTTAAGCTGTTTGTTTCCCCATCTGTAAAAAAAAAGACAATGGAGTAGACCTATCTATCTAAAGGATTTGACATTTTCTGAAGAAAAGCAGCAGATGTTTCCATTAAAACATCATACTGTCCTGCTTTTATTTCTAGCTTCATAAGCTTATTTATCTTGGGTTTTCACGTAAGTGTTAGTGAGAAAACCAGTAATGACACTGATAAAGGTCTTTCCATACTTCCTTATTGAGGAAATGATATTGCAAAAACATCTGGCTGGATCAGTGGCCTTGACTACACTCAGAAATATTTGAGGATACCAAGGAAGAACAAAATACAGAAAACAGTCATGGTATGCAAACACGGACTACCCCTTCAAACAACTTGCAAAAAAAGATTGACTCCTGAAGGAAAAAAAGGCAAAAAAACCTCCTAAATAAATGTAGCTTACCAGTTAAAGGGAAAAAAAAAAAAGTTGCTCTTCAAAAAAGACAAATATTTCATCAGTTGGGAGAGGATCAATAGTAGTTATTAATTTACAGAACAAATACATAATCTGAAGGCTGTTGTCACTGCAGGTTTCTGTTGGCTTATCATGCTACCAGGTATTGACTAATCAATTAATAATATTCAGTTACCAACACTGATTAAGGAATATGAGATTTTACTTTCTTTATTAAAATCTAATGAATAAACATTTCAGTACAGCTGGGAACAAAGGCAGTTTATTCCCAAGAACTGAACAGACAGAGAAGCTTGTGAAAGGATAGCTCTCTAGACTCAACTGAAACGCAGCCGATTTGCGGTGGTCAGTCCAGATACCACCTCCTTGTTTCCTTATGCACCTTTCATCCTCCCTATTACACCTACCTACTATTTACTCCCTACTATTTATTTTGGGGCAGTTGCCACCTTTTCTTTCTTCCTCCATACATCCACAGATGTACCTGTCAGAGATGGATAACAGTTTACTCCTTCCTGATGCAAATACAAAAAACCAAACCACTGTTGAGGGGAGGATCGGGCTCATTAATACCTCACTGCCCCATGCGCGCCCTCCAGCAGATCAGGTCTCTATAGGGGCAGGGATGAGTCCTTGGGGCTTGACTCTATAGTGAAAGTTGCAGCCTACAGGGTTCCCAAACTAAGCACCACCTGACCACTTACCCCTTTTCAAGGGCTGGTGGCCCACCCCCTTCTCTCACCTACATGACAGCTCTCTTCTGGCCCAAAGTCTGGCTGGGGAAATTATGCAGATAATTGCTGACAAAGGCAGGGAACGCAGCCTACCTCTAGCTCCTCTCCCTCATCACTAACAGAGATGCCAAACATGTAACTGGGGGAAAAAGGTGGAAGAAGTGAAGGCAGAGGCTCAGGAGGGTCAGATGGCACAGCGAAGGACCAGATCGGGCCTCATAGCATGCACAGTACAGGATAAGGCAAGACTGCTGCCACTGTTACCACGTTACAGTGCAATATTGACAAGCAGGAATTCTGCTATTTTTGGTATCTCACACATTTGGAATCACGGTACTGCCACATCACCCCGTACTTGTTCCCTGGAGCTGGACCCAAGATCCCAAATGGGCTCTTGGACTGTTACTATAATAACAGTGAGAGGACTGGATGCCGCAGAGGAAGAGCTCTGAGCCAAAGTGATACAAGGACAGATAAGGCACCAGGAACAGCAATAAAAACATATTAAAATGGAAATGAATACTAGCACATGAATATTGGGGCACGAGGTCGAGGTTTGCCTTTCAGAAACTAAGAATTGCTGCAGGAAACTCCTACAAACCACAACCTGTTTCCTGGGCAAGAGTCAGAGTGGCCTCTCCGTGCTTAATACACCAATTGCCATAAGCAGAGCATGCATGAAGCCTGTGAAGCAAAGCCTGGAAAAATCCGTCATACGTGATATAAGATCTCCTCCTGAAAAGTTTAACCCTTCACAAGTTTCACACATTTCAGCACTACCTCTGGCTTACCTCTCACTCCCTCACACATCACTAACAAAAGGCAGATCTTTAATACTGTCCCTGTTGCTCACGAGTGAGGCAACCAACCACATTCAAATGTAAAGTTCATCCAAAAATGTGAGTGATGCTGTTGCTACTCCCATTTCACGCACAATGTTTTGTCACCCAGCGGCACCTTCTCCTCCTCCTCCCCAGGAGCATTTCAACAGAATCAGATCTGAATTGCAACATAAGGGCTCAACCACTTTTGCCACCGCTTAGCAGAGGACACTAATTGGGTCCAGTTTCCATTGCAGGTCAGCTTTCTTCAAGGGGCACCAGAGAGCCATATATACAGTGGAAAACATACGGTTAAGCAGCCTCACCTGCAGTTCTGCTCAGAGAATCAATAGGCAGATAATTAATGCAGACAACAAAGAAGCCAAGATGATAGGTCTTATTTGAAGCCCCAGACTGAAAATACCATTGTGCTTAGATGATGTTTAACCAGGCAAGCCTTCATCTGTTACCATAGCAACCCGGTACCCAACCGCAGCCTCTTGGAGATACTGGCGAGAGATTGCCTCCCCCAGAAATTTATAATGCAAGTTCAAGCCACGAAAATCATTTCTCCATCACGCAGCACTCTGCATTCACAAGGATCTTACTCAAATGTAATAATCACAATAATTATCTCATCATCAGTTCCAACTTACTTCTTTCCTGTTTGAGATCTCTGTACTGGCTAAACATCTTAAATTGAACCATTTGATTAAACAGCTTCATTAGAACCTCACTTCCTAGCATTACCAGCTTTCTTATACTAAGAGAACAATTAATTTGGATTTTTTTTGTTGGTTTGGGGGGTTTTGTGTGTGGGGTTTTTTTTGGTTTTTTGGTTTTTTTTTAAAGAAAATCTTTAATTTCTATTGGTTTTTTTGTTTTTTTTTTTTAAAAGAAAATCTTAAATTTCTGTGCTAGGGCAGAATCCAATCTCGCATTTGGATTGACAAACGTGACGAGTCACATTTTTCATCTGACCCCCATGTACTATGGGCTACAATGAGTCAAACACATCTGATTATTTAAAAAAACATTTTAAAGTAAATTTTTAAAAAACTGATTGAAATTTTGTAACACCAGTCTGATTCTGCCTGGAATCAGCAAATTTACTGAAATACCCTTTTACCTTAGCATTTCCACAAAAATTTCACTAGAAAGGACACGATTGGAAGTTGCATCTCTGATACTTCCCTAAATGATACTTGTGCTGTTTTCCATTTTTTTCATAGGATACCTCTGTCATACACTGGACAGCTAGACAACCAATACACATCAGCAAGCCCATCAGCAAGATTTTCTTTCTCCCTCGGGCTACACCCAATTCCCTTGCAGCGTACAAGGGAGAGGGCAGGTAACTTGGAGGGGGATAGATTATACAGCTGTAAATAAAGTTTCTTTCTGAAGGCATTCCCACAGTTCCTGATGTACCTTCTCTGTATTACTCACTACTTTATCATGTTCCCCTATGTTTATTATCTCCCTTCTAAGAAGAAAAAAAAAACCTCTCTCATATATGCAATTATAAAAATCATCTACAAATTATAAATTTAAATTCATGTAGGGGGCAAAGAAAGAGCCTCTAAGCCACTGGCATTCATTTAATAGCTTCTAAGATGGCTGTCAAAATTTTGTTTACTTTATAACCTTAAAAATTTCTCTCTCCAACTAAAACTGTAAGTTAAGCAGACAGAAAGGCTGCCATCATACTTGCACTGTACTTACTTGCAGGCCTTACTGCAGAACTTACATGTCTCACACCTGGATTTCCTCAGATTCATGAAATTTACTGCTATTTCTCTCTCCTCCTCTTTATTTATTTAACACCAAAGATATGTTTACAAAGTACCGCCCAGGGGAGTTTTAACATTTGTAACAGATGCCAGACACTCGAGACTTGCATACAAACATTGGCTGTACATGTAGGTCAGAAACACCCAACGCTTTTAAAAGAGGCAAGGAGCTGATTTTTTACCTTTGTTGGGCCCCCACAACTTGGATATACATGTGTGAACAAGCTCTACACTGGCTTGGTTAATTGCTGACAGCGTCCCCCTTGACAACATGTGTCTGAGCAGGGGCTAGCACCTGGTTTTCCCAGTGTGTTTGCAGGTGCAGCAGCTGCACGCCAGGTCATCCTCCAGGCAGCCAGCTGAGCGCGCAAGCCTGTCTGCGTGAGCAGTAGCTGCCGCAACGTACCTTGTAAATAAAGCCAAAACTGATGAGTTTCTTGAGGACTTTTGCCTTGCTTTCAACCTCTTCTGCCACATCTAAATCACTGTCTGCAGAGACGTCAGGTAACAGATGCTCCTTTACCCAGAGCCAGCGGGCAGAGCAGCCCACAGCACCAGGGTCTGAGCCTGAGCACTCTTGATGAGGTCCAGGGCAGTAAACAAACACAGCACGAGGCTCGACATGAGGATCTGTCACAAAATGCACCTTGGAAATGGCCTAACGACTCGGCCTGCTGAACAAGCATAGGCTTCTGCCCTGGGGTGAATGGAGAAACTGTGGGATGTAAAAATGTTTCACAAGACTGACAGCGAGAAAAGGAAACATACCATAATTTATTACATATAAACAAATAAGAGTTGAGTTCAGGGCCACTAAGGTAAATGAACTCAAGTATTTCTTAACATAAGTATTCAAAAATATTAGTCAGACCACCTTTGTCCCTGGACATTTAGCATCGTGAAACTGTTATTTTAGAAGTCTCAAGATTCGTATTCGTCTTCTTGATTTTGAGTCTAAGTCTCATTTTGACCAGAGGGGCCAGGAATTTAATTTCTTTTCTTAACAAAGTGATGAGTCTCACAAAAATCACAAAACCTGAAACCGCTGAAATGTTAAGAAAAACCAGCAAATCTGTCAAAACCTACACGAAGTTATAGAAGCCAGCACTGCCAGGATCACATTGGCAACACAACTTCCCTCGCTATTAGTTGTCTGCATACAGTAACCCTTACCTACCATGTCTGACTCTCCATTTCTCAGAAATAGATGCAAAACGCACACAGTAAATAAATGAGTTTGACCAAAACTGCTGCACTGTACCCAGTGAAACAAAATCCACCTGTCTTAACACCACAGAACTTCTGAGGAGAACCCCTTTGTTAGTGGTCAACACAATTGCAGCGTTTGACCTAGGGTAATAGGAAGAAATAAAGAGGAATATGCCCCAAGCAGTTGACATAAATTTTGGGGGATGCAGAAGAACACTCCTTCGACCCATAATAGCCTCTGGGTAAGTTCCTAGCACCTAAAAATTAGATCAGTTAATGGAAGAATCCTGTTTGCTGTTGCTTAGACCTAAATACTGTAAAGTTCAAATAAAAAGCCTCCTTGTTTATACTCAGGGTTCTCTGACCTCCTTTTAAGAGATGTCCCAAAAACATCCTGTAAGTTCAGTGCCGTTAGCTCAATACAGTCCGCATACCGCTGCAATACTGAAGGGATGGAGGGCAGAACCAGAGAAAAGGCAAGTACTTATCTGCAGCTAAGCAGCTGTTTTGCAGTGGGTTTTCTCCTTCAAATCTTCCACAGTTTCTTTATTGCATTACCGTGTTAGAAACTGCAATTTAATAGCATTGTTTTCGTTTGTGTTGACTGCTCTAATGAACACAATCCGATTACTGCTCTGCCACCGAGACATTGAACCTGGTGCTGGTCACCTTTACCTCTGTCACTCATCATCAGCCAGCTAAGATGTTTTAATTGAAATAATGGCTTGAGACAATAATGCCTGTAAGGCATTATAGGTAAGGATTGTAAGCAAAATAAAAAACAAAACAACAACAACAACAAAGCAAAACCAACATTGGGCCAGGGTCTGCGTGAGTTAAGGGGATACAGGCATTTTTTGTAACTTTCCTCACATTATGGAAAGGTCAAGGGATTTTGCTCTTGTGAAGAATACTATCCCTTTAGAAATTCAAGGAACACGCTCAGAATTGTAACAGGAGCACTACAACAGACATAGCTAAGAGCACACTGCCTGAAACTCAGTTCACATCAGGCTGGCACAGCGCTATCAAAAGTGGTGAGCATGAAGAATAGTCAGTTTTCCCACTTCATTGCTTTCTTAGTCCTCTGCAAGACAAGGTACACAGCATCCAGATTGCTCCAAGAGTTGTCTAGGTGACAATACTTCTGAAAAGCAAAGGGCTACAAGGACAACGAGATACTGCAACCCGACAATACCTTTTATTAACTTAGCCTCTCACCTACATCCATATGCTTTCAGGGTGAAGGTAACCTTTTAACTTCTCTAATTTGGGCCACCTTTACAAAGGTACTTTAGATATTTGACTCAATCTCATGGAAGATACATACAAAAACTATAGTTCAGAACCTAAAAACATGGTAGAGTTGGGTCTCTGTAAATTGTCACTCTTGGTTATTCTCAATGCCTTACTTCCACATGCTGAACAGTACAGTAAAAGGTATCAAAGCAACTCTTTTTTGATACAAGTGTTTTGACCATGGGGGGAGATACTCTCCCTTCCTAAGCTGTATCACTGTGCAGCAATGAATGCCATTAAAATGAGTATCACTCAAAAAAAAAAAAAATTACAGTTTCAGAAACCCCAAGGAGCAAAAAAAAGACATTATCAATCTGCCTATCTGCTTAAAATGTACATTTACTTAAAATATCTGTACAAAGGACATAACATTTCTGCCTAGGATACGGCACTCTATGAGGAAATATAATTTATTTGTGTTTGCAATTCATTGTCTAGACGAGACAACGAGGTTTTCTGTCTGAGCGCTGGTTCTGTAACCTTGTCACTGAGGTTAGTATGAGCATCCCCATGAGTCAATGCGACTTTACGTGAGCATAAACTCTAGTGCCAACTTCCTGTGATCACTTCTCCCTGGCAGCGCTCCTAGATGATTCACCCACAGTGCAGGGAGCAGTATTTATTAAGCAGAGTTCTTAAAACCAACATTAAGAACATTCAGTCTATATTTGTCCCAGGCATCGCACCT